TAATAATTACACTAGAACTAAAAAACTTATATTAAATATGTTAATATGGTCTTTTATATAAATATTTTCTTCATATATTATCTTGATCATTAAAATATTACATATTTAATAAGATTTTGAGCCTATATATATTTTATTTAATTTAGAGGGTAAAAATATATAGAGTAAGGATACAAAGTTACAAAATTTACACACCCTATACTTGTAATTTTTCCAAAATAAAGGGTGCATATGTCCACTCTCACAAACAAAGTAGCTTCGCCACTTCTTGAGATAAGATATATGGGGTTGAAATCAAATTTTACTGTAAATATGCAGATTTTATTTATGAATAATTTATAAATATTTTTATAAAATATTTTTTAAACCTGAAAGTATGTTTTTAGAGGTCAATTTATCTAAACTTTTTTGAACAAAACATGGCCTATTGGGCCGGCCGCGTAGTGTGAACGTATTTCTTGAATGCAATACTCTCTCTCTCTCTCTCTCTCTCTCTATATATATATATATCATTTCTCAGGGAAACTAGACCTGTGCCCCTGTGCACTACAAAAGGGGGGGAAAATTAAAATAAAGAAGTGACGATGCACATCTTAAATAAAAATATATAATAGTCTTATACAGCAAATGATTCAAATTTCATGCATAATATAATGATTATTTATGATCTCTGAGCAATTTGAAAGGTCACCAATCCATCCTTTACTTTAACCCAAGTCCAGTACGTTTGAATTTGTCATTTGAAATGCTGATGACTTTAAGACAGAATTAAATTAACTCAATATCTATATAGATAATATAAAACTTATAACACTACAATAGATTGGGCTATATAGAATACGATTTTGTTCTCTTATAGAAGAGTCAATCGTCCTGTTGAAAAAACAAATACAGAACAATATGAGGTTCCAAATTCAACCAAAATTTGAAGCTCTATGTCATATAGGACAGTTATTGTGTAATATAATCTGTAGGAAGTATATATTGTTTTTATTTTAGCGAGAAAACATTCTCAGCCTCTACATCCCCATGGTGCTTAAATTTAATTAGTAATTTACACATCGTTCCTTTCATAGACATTCACTTTCATAAATAACAGATATATTTCATCAGTCCATCACAAATGCACAAGTAGCTAGGCCTATAGAGTAAATTAATTATATAGCTCGTTTGTGAATACGGCAATTAATCAGCGGCTGCCTATGCATGTTCTAATTCTAATATTTATAAATCGTGATCAACGACAAAACATAGAATTATTGGAAGTGGAAGGTGACGCTTGCGTTAAGTTTCTGATGTCAGTTGTCAACCTCAGACCTCAGTTTTTGTTTTTAATTTGGGAAAATTTCTTTATGAAACTTAATATCATTTCAACATTGATGCCTTCCTTACGTTGACATATATTGTCTCTCTACGCCAGTACGAGGTATTTACTAATTATTAAATCTGTGTTTTCATGTTACAGCACCAACATCGACTTGAGCTTTCGAATGTACACATATAACAAATTTCGCTGTCACATAATATATATATATATATATATATATAAGACTCCCAGTTATAAGGAAGATTGAGTAGTACATGTCTTCATCATATTCTACGTAATTCTAACATCGATCTTCCTTTGGTAGCTGTTGGCTCTCACATCACTTGTGCTTTTGCGATGGGAGCATCATACCTATGTCAATTTGATTCACCCATATATTATTTTCAGTGGTGATATATATATATATATATATATATACATATATGTTCGTAATCTTGTGGGCCAAAAGAAAACCTCATCCTGGTTGATTTGTTACTACATATGTTGTGTCTATCAATATCGTCATCAGATCTCGCGAGAGATCCATTATAAGTTAAATCATCATACGCATACTATTTCGAAAGTTGGCTTACGATATCATTTTTGAAAAACCTTACAATTCAAAACATGACAAGATCTGCTACACTTGGGCCAAGCTGAATCATAAATTGATATGTACATGAGAATGTTGATGCATATGAAAAGTTTCAGTTCCTTGTCAAACCCAAAAATAAAAAAATAAATAATAATAAAAAAACAGCGAGCGAGAGGGTTTTCACAGGAAACGTTCTTGTTGATTCTTTTTCTTCTTTTTGGCCATTCTTTGTCGATCGAGTTAACACACTTAATTATCAAAAGTGCAGTCATATGAGTTTAAGTTCAATAGTGTTTCAAAATCTGCCCAATTTCCGCTAGGTTTATTCTTTCAAGTTTCCAAGCATAAATTATACTGGTATCTGCACGGTTGGTTTACACAAGATACGTGCTGCTTCATGAATGTAAGAAATGAATAAAGCATGGGCAAATAATTAACTAAAAAAACCCGGCACTATATTATTTCAGAGTCAGAGAGCAAGTTAAGAAAAAAAAAATAATGATACTGTTGAAATGCTTTAACCCCATTAATTCATTGAGTGAGTGTGGAGTGTCTTTCTCTTTTACTGAAAGAATTGCAGGTAGACTTTGTTAGGATAAAAAGTAAAAGATGGAAGCCTTCCAATTCAATGCATTGAAAATAATTATAGGAAAGACAATGTTAGATTCGAAGTACTACATGCAACTACATATTTGAGGCGCTTCACATATCACAAGAGGGGAGAGAGGGTGAGGAGGAAATTAACAAGAACATGTGTTTTGGAGCTTTTAACTTTACAAAATTGATTGCGTGGAGGGCATCGGGACAATATATATATATATATATATATATAATGAAATGTATATAACTACATGATGCAGAGTACACCGTACGTCGACGTCACTTTTCTGGTAACACTTCCTTAAATATGACTCTAGATGATTTATTTGTAATGCTTGGATTTCCCGTTAGGCTCGGATGCCTGATCAAAGTTTGAACATTTGGATTTGAATCCTATACTATGAACTTAGTTTACAGGAAAAAAAAAACAACATTCATCATATAGTTGTCCACGTATGCTTGAAATGTAAATTGAAAATACTCTCTTCATTTAAAAATATAAAATATTTTTTAAAGGGTTGAATGTTAAAAAAATAAGATATTTGTAGTCTTTCACTATGTAATAATAACTTTTTTTCCTAAATATACCCATATTGAATAAATTAATTTATATTTATTTTAGGGTATTAATAGAGTTATATATATAAATATAAAGTTAGTTTAAAAATAAATAATTACTTTTTATTGGAGTGAAATTAAGTTAAAAATACCTTACATTATTGGACAAAGAAGATACTTGAAAGATCTATAAATATTCAAATACTAAGCAGATTAATTAACATAGGTAAAACTTAGATACTTTAACTTATATATTTTATACAATTATTTTTCAATCAAATTAAAATAAGTTGAAAATGCTAATAATGAGAGCTAGTTACAAAGTAAGTAAAGAGGTAAAAAAAAATCCACTTATTTGATTGATTGGAAAAAAAAATTTACATTATTCAATACATAAACCAGAGAAAGCACCAAAGTTTTTTCAAAGAAAAATACTGTATCAGAGAGATATTGCATACTTATATTTACTTTCTAATATATAATTCAAATGTAAATTTTAAATTGCAATTATTATCTCATTTTGACAACGTATAAAAATTGATCTAACAAAAAAAAACATAGCTTGTTTATCATTATAATAATAATTAAAAAAAACATAGCCTATGAATGGATATAGACATTCTAATATATGCAAAATTTAACCATATTCCAAATTATTTTGAGAATCTTTTAGTACATATGATGGAACATTTTTAAAAAAAGATAATTTTGATGATGAAAAATAAGTTTTATATATAAAAAAATATGAAGTAAACCTTGTTGAATAATGATTAATATGCATAATAATATTAAGAAAATTAAATGATTTTCCATTCTGCATACGTTTAAATATTCTTCAAACCTTATCCCTTGTTTTGTTTTCTTTCTTGAACGTGAAGCAAAGAAAACCCCGAGATTGCAATCCCTACGCGCGTAGTTACATTACATACAATACATACAATAGGAAGCACAATTATTAACAGACATAAATCTGCGTAAAGTCCCCGATGGCAGAGCCAAGCCCACCAGTGACTAAAGTTGTAAACTTATCCCGTTCACTTTTTTTGTTTTTCAAGTTTATCAGTGATAAATGAAAAAAAAAAACAATCAAAAACCACTAAAACAAATTTATATCAATTAAAAATTATTTATTATTAAAATTTAAATATATATTTGTTAATTTATATTAATTTTTATTAATAAATATTTATTTAAGTTTTAATAACAACTCATTTTAAATTAATAACAATCTATTTAGATTTTTTATCATTTAAATTTTAATAATAATTTATTCGATATAAATTTACTTAAAAAATCTTTGATTGCTATTTCCGGTGACTAAAAGGTCAACAAAAAACACAGTTAGCATGCTAGTGAACCAAATGCATTAATATCTACCAATTTATCTGGGCAAAGCCACATCGCACGAGCTTCAGTTTGATCACCGTGTCCAAATCTGGAAGGGTAGATTACTGAAGCTTTTTAAGATTATTTTCCAATGAAATTAGTGTAAAGCTGGCCTCAGCCTCGAATAGCCACAAATAGTACTTGGGATTTGGAATTCTAGTGGCTAGCCTATCCTTATGTTTTTCCTTTTTCGGTAGCTTTTGTTTATCATCAGTTAATAACCATCACAGGGCCCTTCTTTCTTCTCCCTGCGTCACGTCCAACTATTTCCAGAACCATTGCCACCTGACATAATTGCTTCATTGATATTTCACAAACACTCGTACCCATTATTTTGGCTTCACATATCATTCCTGCTTTGTTAGTCTTATTTTTAAGGAAACCCTGTTTTATTTGTCCAGATTTAATTTCCCTGGTTCCCCAGCTAGCCGGAGCAAATTGTTTCCTGGGATGTGATCATAATTTACTAGGAGTTCAAATTCATCCCGCAGTTTTTTTTTTTTTTTTGGCATATGGGTTGTCTGAATTCTAATGTTCACGAAGAGATGAGATAACTTTTAACAAAGATACTAAAAAAAGATGTTATTGCCATTCATCAGCTCACGCCAGAGCTTAAAAAAAGGAGGCAAAGACTACTATTTTTTCATACTATTTCACACAGACAGAGGAACCAAAGACAAAGATAATCAGAAGAGACAGCAAAAATCTCTGCCCTTCGTTTCCAAATCAGCCAAGCAGGTCGACCGAGGTGGTTAAGGATTGGTTGGAGGAATCAGGTCCAAGGTACGAGGAGCTGCAGAGGACATCTTCCAGAGGGCTCAAGGAAGGGCAGGGACTGTTGAGCCGCATGTCCTTCAACATCTGACGAAGCTCCGAAGCTTCATCTTTCAGCTGAGCATTCTCTTGAACCACGCGGTCGTGGCTCTCCGACACATGGTTCAGCTTATCTATCAACTGATGATTCTCATTCCTTAGCCACACTACCTGCGACCACAGCTCATCCAGGTGCTTCTGCTTCCTCATGCGTGACCTGCGGGCAGATTCCCTGTTCGATATCATTCTCCTGTGCTTCCTCTCGTTGATGATGAGGTTCTGCTGTTGCTCATCTGCTTCATCAGAGGTGGAATAATTGCTGCTCAGACACGATGATTGGGGACTAAAGTCCTGAACTTGAGGAGGGTTTTGGAAATTGTATAGCTGGTTGGCAAATCTTTGAAGCTGGAACGTTGATATATTGTTCTGCATAGGGCTGTAATGAGATGGGTATGGGTATGGGTTTGAATGGACCTGAAACTGATAATTCAGTTCAGAAACCTCTCTGGCTTGCATGGTTTTATAATCTGTATATTCAACCAATGAGCAGAAGTTTTTGAAGGGAATGGTGGATATTGGCTTGGTTCTGAGAAGGAGGAAGAAAACCAGAGTAGGTATTATATAGGGAGGACAACTGGGTGAAAGGGCCTACCAAAAGCAGGCGGAGAAACAACGGCTAAAATCCTTAAAAGCTCAGATAATTATGCAGAATATGTCTTATGTAAAAGGTTTAGCATAAGGCATTCTCGCATATGCTCACTAATCAATCAGTGTTATTGGCACACATGACTGAACGGGTTCTCTACAAGTTGGAAATCTTTTGTTGTTTTGAGTAGAGGCTATATATAGGCGATGCGATAGCCTAAGCCCCTACGTTTTTTTTTTTTTTTGCTTTTTTATTGCAGATTGAATTTATTTATGGATGCATGTGTATATATGCGCACGACATGATGATATAATGTTCATGTGGGCATGTGAGGATGAGGTGCATGTGGACGTGCTATGTGGGGATGATGTGAGGGAGGGCAATTTGTGTTTGAGGATAATCATTTTGGAGCAAAACAAGTGCTTACATCAGAGAGACTGAGGCAGTTCAAATCATGGGAAGTATAATAATTCTTCTTGAATTGGAGCTCAACAAGTCAAGCAAAATTTATTATATTACTATTGTTATATTATTATAATAAGGTTGCAAAAATTTCAGGCTGATTCTATGTTGGATGGTTTTCTCTTAATTGACAAAAGAAATTAAATGGGGGGAAGTGGGGATTGAAAAGAAGGTAATTGCCCATCTATATGAATTCATAACTGAAGAGAAAAGATAGAAAAATTTAAGGATTTGATGACTCAAGAACCACTTCTCCTGGGCCAGTTTGCAAAAACAATAATGCGTGTGTGTGGGGGTTAAATAGAAGCCAAATCTTAGATCAGCAATCACCGCTTCTTCTTCTTCTTCTTCTTTTTAGTATAGTTAGGAACTAATCAGAGTCTATTCCAGTACTGCACTAATGAGTGATTTCATTGTAATTAATCACCAGAGTAATTAATTATGTTAAATAAATATACTCAGTAGTCTACTGGCTTACAGAACGGTGTACTGTATTTTTTCACCCTTTCTGGCATATTCTCTTGGTTATTCCACTGAATTGTCAGGTAATCAAAATAGTGAGGACTGTAACTAAATGTTCAAAGCTACATTTATCTTTCTGTTCTAAAATATCAAATTCTTTCACCAACTAAATAATATGCGTGTGTGTGTGTGTGTGTATCTCATAATGCTTTTAAAGGATATAGATGAAGCGAACTTGATATGACGTAGTAACACTAATGGAGAGAGGAAAAGGTTCGCACATTTGTAGTGGTGTTGACAAGTTGTTGTAAATACATAATCAGAAAGAGGCCAATGATTCTACACTGCCACTTCCTGCCAGGATAATCAAATGCATTGTTTAAAGAAAATGATGACATGAGCCAGACTTAAAATAACAAAGTAGTGATTCATTTTGTTACCAGCATAGAAATGCATGTGAAGATCACAAAGTAGTGCTTGTACCTTGCTCTATCTGTTTGAATTAATTTTTCTTTCAGGCTCTTTCATTAACATGGCATTCGTCTGTACTACTTTCAAATGTTTGGTTATCTGATTTGCGAGGGAGATTTCTTAACCACTAAAGTGAGTGGGAACAAAGATGATGCATAAATATATATGGTGGAAAATAATGAGAGAGAAACGGTACTTTGTATTGCACATCCCACTAATAATGAAAAACTTAGATGCATTCAGAAGAATGGAATCCCAAAATCTGGTTTTAGACAAATGCTTTATTCTTGCACTTACCCTTTGAGTCGTAGTTGAGTGGACTGAACGGTCAACAATATCATTAGACAGATTTAGACTCCTCTTTCTTTTCCTGTCGTTTGAATATTGCTCTCTCTCTCTCTCTCTCTCTCTAGCCTGAGATTGTAGGGATAAATAAAGGTGTTTTTCTAGTGTGGTGCTTGGACAAGTATATGTTTCATTGACCTTTAATATTTAGCTTGTACTAATACTAATCTACTTTTGTGTACTATATATGTATTTACTCTCCATTTGGTTGGACCACATGCTACAACACTCAGACCTAGTAAGTTTACAAATTGACTTCTCCATTATGATTAACAGATACCCATGCATAATTTTCTTTTCTAGTCAACTTGAATCATTGACCATAGACAACATATATGCAGCTGAGGGGAATTAATACTAGGGCTACAGCCGGTTTCGTGAAATCATTTCTGTAGAATGTTCTTAATCTATTGGTGGAATGCAAGTTGGAAAATGGAAAGACTTGTGGATATTTTCTTTTTCTATGTCAAATAAAAAAAACAAATTAAGTTTAATTTTGTGCATTCTTTATTGCTTGTCGTTTACATAATGGTCAAACAACTAGAAAAGAAGAAAAAGTTGGTGTCCGCCGTTTACACAAATGTGAGGCTCGAAGGCTTCTGGTTTTCGATCCTAAAAGGTCATTTAATTACCATACGATAGGAAGTTAAATTAGGAACTTAAACAAATTAAGTATCTAATCATGATAGATATATATTATCTTAAGCATCCCTAAATTTTGCCAAGCATTTTTGTCTCGTAAAAACAATCAGAAATTACTTTAATTTGTGACGATTTGGGCGTTATATATATATATATATATTGATGATCTTCTCAACTTAATTATTTACCCACCCAGCCACTAGGCATGACGCTGATTCTTTTAATAATTTCATACACCTTCATATATAAACACGTACGTATAATTTACATATGTATATAAATTAAAATATATAGACACGTACGCATAATTTTTCCAAGCTATAGAGAGAAAAGGAGCTAGCTAGGAGGAAGAGAGAAACTCACTTTTTGTTTACAAGATGAAACTCACTTTTACTTTGTGATCTACCATGCACACAAAGATGTGAATTCTAACTTTTTTTTTCCTTTTCCAATTTCACTTCGAGATTATTTTTAAGATCTACGCACATACAACCCACTGTATATCGTCAATGAGAATCAAGACACAAGTAAAAAATATATATATAACGTCTCATCAAATATATATATATATATATGTACGTATGTATGTACTATATAACGTTTGTGTGTACGTTCCATTAATGACCCTTTTGGAACATAAAAGGGGAAAAATTAAGTGTGCGTAATTAATAAACACACACACACACAACAGGCGCACACTAGACTCGAGATATATGAAAAAGATCAAAGTTTAGTAATAAAATCCAGACAATAATGCAAAATTCAACTATTAGGAATAATTTGCCATGAATGGGGAACCCTTCTCTCATGGTGCTCCTTATATTTTAATTTTATTTATTTATTTATTTGGCCACGGTTCTCAGGATAGGCATAGTACCATTTTGAAAGGTAGGTAAGAATCGGTACGGATTATCTCTACATTGTTTATTGGTTAACTCTAGTTAGCCAGCATCTTTTTCTCCACATAAAATAATACCCTCTCGTGTTCATTTGGGGAGGCCAAGATCGTAGAACTTGATGACAAGTTAGAGCCGGGAAATAAAATATGAAATAAATAAATAAATATTATATCCGAGAGAGTTCACACGATTTCATTATAGAGAATCTTTGCGCTGCCGTGAATGATCGTTCCAGTTTGATGCAAAGTGACACAAAAATAAAAATTGTGGAGTTTTTCTTCATAATATAAGAAAATCATGATAAAAAAAAAATTTATGGCAACTCGTGCAATATTCACAAAAAGCGCGAGGCTTCGTATTATGTAGATTTTTAAAGGAGAGGCAAAAGAAAAGAAAACGACCAAGATACGGAAGCTGTAGCAGAACAGGGCAGGATTGCGACACGCGCCCCAGGTAGAGTGGGCCAGCAATATTAAATACGCACGTCAACCTTTGAACACACACACACACACTTAAATAGCTAGCTCTGTTAATTTCTCTTAAACAAGTCAACACACACATAATCAAGTTCAAGTTATCATTAATGTAAGATAAAATCTAGACTCAATCAAGGTTATAACTTAAAAGGCTGCATTGAGGAAGAGTACCACCTAATTGGGTTAATTCAGAGGACAAGGTATTTTAATTAACCCTTTTACTTTTTACTGTGAGTTAGGTTCGTTCTACTGAGTAAATTGATATTTTCACCCCATAAAAAACTACCCAATTAATAAATCCATGTCATTAAATTGGTACACAGGGGAGGGGATACAAATTATAACAGACGAGATTATGATTAGAAAAAAAAGATATTCACGGAATAAAAATCTGATAATATTCACTCAATCAAATAATTACCAACATGCGGGCTGTCCCAATCGGAGCTGCATATCTTATCTAGCACTGAAAAGCGGTGGGGTGTATCTGCAAAAAGAAAGCCATTTTTCACGAATACCCTCTGCATTTGGGTAGCATCCTAGGAAATGGCAGGGTCAATTCGGTAACAACAGTGCTTTGGCGTGGGGACACTTCCCCATATCAACGGAACTTGCCTCGTTTGGCGTCACTCGCTTTCACTCCTCCCCGCACCCCGGGGGCCCAAAGATTATCTAATATTTTAAATTAATTAAAATATAATTTTAAGTTTTTATATTTTATTCATATTTTTTTATTTATTTTTATATTTTTAAATATTTTTTATCTCTATTATGTCCCTTCAATTAGTACAGAAATCAAAAACTTTAAAAGTATAATAATTAACAGTAAAATACAAATAAAATATAAAAACTTAAAATTATATTTTTCTTTATTTAGTGTAGTATTTTCATTCTTAAAGGAATTAAAATATAACATTTTCTATCTGGACGTTAAATAATAAATGTTGACAATTAATATGATATAAAAAAAGATAATTTAATTATTTAATGAATATTTGTGAATATTTAATGTTAGGATAAAGAATGCTAAGCTTTAATTATTTTAAGGATGAAAATGTTATATTAAATGATTTAAGATAATGAATGTTCTTTGAAAAATACTGCAAAGGCAAAACTGTCCATTTTCCTAAAATGAATTTGCAAGCTATTTTCAAAATAAACAAATATGCAAGACGCTATTATATACTCTGATATATTTAATACATTAAACATACTTATATTCAGAGTTTTACAAATATAAGTTTTGAAATTAAAAAACCATCTTTGAGATTTTAGTTTACCAGCTGCATTTTTTGTTGATTACATCATTAGGATTTGAACCCGAAGTTGTTATTCAGAATTCATCTCATTCTAATTACCTGAGTTAGCTTTCAGTGTCTCAGGCCTCACGAGT